ATATATATACCCTGTGCCAAAAGGCCTTTATTCCTCTTTTTCGTGCACGCGAGTCAGCGAGGCATGTGACTACAAAGGGGTGAGAAGCACACAGTGCTGGATGAGCAGCATGATAAAACCTGCAGGTCTGAGAGACCAGTATTATAGTGATTTAGCGCTTAAAAAATGGCTTTCCAGTAAATTGAAATTGCTTCAGAATTCTCTGAAGTCCTTTGGGGCAATAGAGAGCATAGGGTTTCTTTTAGCGTGGCTGAAACAGCACATGGACATGGATTGCTGGTGCCTCTATAAATGAATTATTGATGGTCAGAGCTTGCTTTTGAGCGAGAAGTTGCTCTTTACAAATGCTATTTATTATCAGAAGTGACCACCCACCTTTTTATTTTACAATCTATATTAGTCTGGAACGTTCCAGAAACGCTAATAAATGCTATAATTCTTCATTGAAAAGAAAATGCAGTCGAAACTGCTCTAACAGCCACTGTCTACGACAATTACATTATGTACAAATGACCACTTCTCATTTCAGGGTTTGAACACGTTATCTTTCGGTAACGACCACGACAGCCTAAGCACTGTGCCACCGATGTTGTGTAGGTAGGAGTGTAAAACGTTTACAATTACATTTCTTTTCTTCCTCGAGAATCTTAGTTCAATTTTAGTCAGAGTTTTACGACACTTGCAACACAATCCATATATACGTGCCGAAGGTTTAATGTGTTATGAGAATGTGACATACAAACAAAAGGAGGAGAGACGAGGACGACAGATGTTTGATAGACAAGAAGGAGGAAACCGCACCAGAGCATCAACCAACCAACAGCTCTGACGAATCGAGCGAGTGGTGTGCACGCACTTAAAGCTGTTCTGACAGAATACTCACAACAGAGAAATCCAGCACGCGCAGAATCCAGACCGTGAGTGCCAAGTTCATAATGACCACGACCATAAGGATGAGCACAAAGGCGTAGATACACCGCTTTCTCCAGCCGTAGATCCCCACAGGCTGGGGGGAGGGGGGCGGGTAGTCCAGGATACCGTTCGTGTCCTCAGACTCCATCTTGCTGAGGAAGGGAAAAAAGTACCTATGTCATAATCTTACGGTTTTTAAATAAATAATAATTATTTCTACAATATTGAAACATACAATCTAAGTTAGTGTTTAGAAGAGTGCTCAGAGATTAAACAGTGCTTTTCGTGGGGAGACAGCTGCATTCAATTGTCAACGTCGTGAGAGCGTCAGTTATTAAAATACACTGTACTTCAAATGGAGCAACACAGCTGTAACGCTTAAGAGAGATGAATATGAGAGATAGACAGACAGATAGGTTGACAGATAGATAGATAGATAGATAGATAGATAGATAGATAGATAGATAGATAGATAGA